AGATAGATAGATAGATAGATAGATAGATAGATAGATAGATAGATAGATAGATAGATAGATTTAGATATTTACATATAGATGGATGAAGTTGCTTGGATAAGCAACGAAATAGCAGAATAGAATAGAACTGGAAGGGACCTTAAACAGGGGAATCTGTACCATTTCAGATAAGTGACTTAAAAACCTCCAGCGATGGAGCATTCACAACTTCTGGTAGCAAGCTGTTCCACTGGTTAATTGTCCTCATTGTTAAGAAGATTGTCCTTAATTCCAGGTTGCTTCTCTCCTTGGTGAGTTTCCATCTGTTACTTCTTGTCCTGCCTTCAGGTGCCTTGGAGAATATGTTGACCCCCTTTTCTCTTGGGGCAGACTCCAACCGCAGATCCTGCAAGCCGTTCTTCGTACGTTTTAGTCTCCGGGGCTTTTAATCCTCTTAGTTGCTCTTCTTTGCACTTTTTCCAAAGCCTCAACATCTTCTTTTTGTAACGCGGTGACCAAAACTGGATGCAGTATTCCAGGTGTGGCCTTACTAAGGCTTTGCAAAGCAGTAGTAATCCTTCACGTTATTTTGATTCCATGCCTGTCTTTATACAACCAAAGATCGTATTAGCATTTTTTGGCTGCTGCTGAACGCGGCTGGCTCAGGTTTAAAGGATCTTCCAGTAGGACTCCAAAGTCCACCTCACCATTCCTGTTTTTGAGCCAGGTTTCACCTCATCTCTCTACTTTATACCTTTGATTATTTTTAAAATCCTAAACGTGTAAAAACTTGGCTTTTCTCCACATTAAAATTCGTTTTGTTGGAGAAGGCCCGTTGTTCACGTTGGTTCAAGATCCTTTTGGGCCTTGAACTGGAGGTCTTCTGGGGTGTTGGCTCAGGTTAACGAATTTTGGTCCTCCACTTGCCACGATGCAACCTTTGAGATCCTTTGAGTCTACATCAACCGATCCTTCCTGAAAATAAAGGATTTCTGAGCAAAGTTTTCGATCTTAAAAACATTCGGCTAAAATGTGGCTACCTTTTTCCAAATGGGAGCAAATGGGGTGAGTCTGAATACAACATACTATAGAATACAGACGGTCCTCAACTTATGATCGTAACGGAGCCCCAAATTTCTGTTGCTAAGCCAGGCATTGGTTCAGTGAGTTTTGCTCCATTTTACGACGCTTGGGAATCGCTGCCGTTTTTTGTTAAGTTAGTCACACGGTCGGTAAGTGAATCCGTCTTTTCCCCATTGAGTTGGCCACTCAGAAGGTCACAAAAAGGGGAATCATGACCCCCCCCCCCCCCGTCATAAAGATGAGTTCAGTTGCCAAGTGTGTGGATTTTGATCACGGGAAAAGCCTAAGTCGCTTTTTTTTCCAGGGCCGTTGTAACTTCGAACAGCTATATGTTGAAGACCACATGTGCCTCTGCCCCCTTAAAGGACAGTAGTTCTCGATTTACAACAGTTCATTTAGTGACCATTCAGAGTTGCAGCGGCACTGAAGAAAGTGTTTCACGCTTGCGGCCATGGCAGGGGCTCCCTGTAGTCACATGATCAAAATTCACACCCTTGGCAGATGACTCGTATTTACGACGGTTGCAGCATCCCAGAGGTGTGTGTCCCATGGTTCCCCTTTTGTGACCTTCGGACGATGAGGAAGCCGGATTCACTTAAGGACCGCGTGACTACCTTAACAAAACTGCAGGATTCCGGCAGTCACCCTAATTAAATCGTGAGCCTTGAACAAGCTTCAAAAACTTCAAGTTATTTATTAGGAGCGAACATGTCGACATGAGCCGCCGATGCTGAGATACGTAATTCACCATCACCTACGACCCTGGTTTCCCCTCTCACCCCTCTGAGTGTATCATAATTCATATTCTCCAACAGTTCATAGCTGAGTTCATCAATCACATTCTCCAATTATGAATTTGGGGGCAGAAATTTTATTTATTTATTTATTTTGTCAAGCAATTATTTGATAACAAGTATAAGTATAAACACGCTTATAAATACATGAAATAGATACGAATAAGAAGAAAAATAAACAATAGGACAGGGATGGTAGGCACGTTTTGGTGCGCTTTTTTCCCGGTAGCTTAGTTACAATCTTTGCAAGATATGAATGGAGTATGCACTTTCGATTTTAAAACTGCTGCAGTGCTCCAAATTTCTCCCCCTTGTTCATGGCAGCTCTAAAACAGGCCTAGAAATACTTTATGAGTTGACCGTTTACTTAACAGCTGTGGCAAAGAAGGTCTTAAAATGAACTGAACAAATGTCTCGCTTAACGACATAAATTTGGGGCTCAGTTGTGGTCATAAGTCGAGAACTAGCTACAACGGCCTTCCTGTGGCAAATGGGAGGTTTTGGATCACGTCATTCCCGAAGGTATCACCCTGGACTTACGACCGTTTGTTTAGCTGTGTTTGAAATCACAACGGCCACCAGAAAAACTCTGGTAATGACTTGTCCTCGCTCTTATGACCATTGCAGCTTCCCCAAGGTCGTAGAATGAAACTTAGAGAGCTTGCCAACCCAGGATGTATTGTACGATGCCTTCTGGGCTCACTCAATCCCCCATTTGCAACCTTCCTAGCCAGGGACTCCCAACAACCCGAACTCAAGAGAGGGAGGCTGGGTTCACTTAACAACGGTGTGACTCGACCACTATGGTTGATTCACTTAACTCAGTCAGAAAAAAGGGAGTCATGGACGTGTGTGATTCACTTCCATTGCCTTGTTGAGCGGTGGAAATTCTGGTCCCTTGTCGTAAGTCGAGGACTCCCTCCCAATTCATCCGTCTTCTACTGATACATGTTACACGCACGTAGTTTACACACAAGCAGGGTGGATAGAAATTGATTTTTTTAAAACATGATTTTTTTAAAAAACAAATTGGATTTTTAAAATTTAAATCAGATTTTTTTTTATATTTTTATCAAATTTATTTTAATAAAATGCTTCTGGAGTAAAAAAAAAATCTATCAAAAGATAGTTTTCTACTTAAGATACATTAATAATTTGGTTTATTCAGCCTGAAGTGGAGCTTAGTTAATGTAGCAGAAGGCTGTATACATTCTGCAATATTTACATTTTCTGGTAAACGCATTTCAGTGAATCTGAGCTCTTCAAGTTGAGATAAAAACTGCACACTGCACTGATGCATTCACACAATTTCACAGCAGAGATGGTCGTTGCTCTTTAAAACTTATGATTTAAATAGAGCCTAGTGATTTAAATTGTGATTTAAATCGACTTGGTTTAAACCAAACCCAACTCTTTGGCGTATCTCGTCACTTAACAAGGTATTTCAAATTTGCTTTTGGGTAATTTAGAAATGGCTATTAACTACTACTACTGTACTACTACTGTACTACTAATCTTGGCTTGTTAATCCCTTCCCAGGAATTAAGCGTAAAGCTCTTAATACCCTCCCTCCATTACACGGCTCCTTCTGTTGTCCTACTCCTGCCCTAGCTATGTCCTTTTGATACAGCGGAAACTTCAGCCATGGTTATATATTTAAAGCGCTTCCAAAATGAGAAGAAATTCCACGTTGTTTCTTTAAAATCATTAGCATAAAAAGATGGGGGCTGTGGGGGGAAAGGTGTGGGAGATGGCTAGGGAATTCTGGGAGTTGAAGTCCACCCATCTTAAAGCAGGCTGACTGGAGGATTCTGGGAGTGGAAGTCCTCCCATCTTAAAGGATGCTGACTGGGGGATTCTGGGAGTTGAAGTCCACCCATCTTAAAGCAGGCTGACTGGGGGATTCTGGGAATTGAAGTCCTTCAATCTCAAAGGATGCTGACTGGGGGATTCTGGGAATTGAAGTTCACCCATCTTAAAGCAGGCTCTCTGGGGAATCCTGGGAGTTGAAGTCCACCCATGTAGCCCCACATTAAGGGTCCGATCAGGCTTTGAATCAACCCTACCTGATCCCATTCACAAGAAGGGCTCAGAGAAGGACTTTATTGGGCCTGCACTTCTCCTTCCCAACCTCGTTCATTTCCCAGCCTTGTGGCCTTCACCTCCCAGAATCCTCAGCAGCGGCTACCTGGCTGGGAGATTCTGGGAACTTTTCTTCCTGCCTGTGAACTTATTCAGTGGTTGGGTTAGCGGGGAAACGGTTGAGATGAACGGGTCCCAATTCAGCTTTTCCAATTTATTTGATTTGTCCATCGCTTACAAGGTAATAGGTATAAGTATAAACATAGTTACGAATATATGGATATCTATAAGAAAAATAAAAAAGAAACAATAGGACAGGGACGGTAGGCACGTTGGTGCGCTTATGCACGCCCCCTACAGACCTCTTAGGAAAGGGGTGAGGTCAATAGTAGACAGTCTAAGGTTAAAAGTTTTTGGGGTTTGGGGAAGGAACCACCGAGTCAGGTAGAGGATTTCAGACATTGACCACTCTGTTATTGCTGAAGTCGTATTTCCTGCAATCGAGTTTGGTGCGATTAACCTTGAGTTTGTATCTATTGTGTGCTCTTGTGTTGTTATGGTTGAAGCTGAAGTATTCTTTGACAGGTAGGACATTGCAATGTATGATTTTATGTACTGTACTTAGATCAACAATTTTTCGATGCTGAGAAACACCTGCTGTGTGCAAGACACAAAATCACACACACACACACACACACAAACCCCCTTGTCTTGTTTCAGGTCGGCTAATGCTGCTGCCCCACCTGCGGCTGCCGGAGGAGAGGCCGGGGGTCCCCCCGCCCCACCACCCAATCTCACCAGTAACCGGAGGCTCCAGCAAACCCAGGCTCAAGTGGATGAGGTGAGAAGTGGGGGATTCTGGGAGTTGAAGTCCATGCTGGGGGTGGGGGGTGGTGGAGGATCACTGCTCCAGAGGCCGAGAGCTTGAGGGCAGCGGAGGGGGCCTGTTATGCCCCCACTGAGTTTCTTTGTGGGAGTTTGACCAGGAGCATTGGAAATCTTCCTTCCTCCTTCCCTTCGTCTCTTCCTTCATCCCTCTTTCTTTCATCCTTCCTCCTTCCTTTCTCCAGCCCTTTCTTTCATCCTTCCTCCTTCCTTTCT